AAAAATCTCCCTTGCAATTGTAATGTGCAGCCAGGGTGGAGAACCAGGCGTCTATTTCATCTTAATGCAAAAACCTTCCCCACTTTTTTTTTGTATCAATTTCAATTTCTCCTTATTCAATCTTTTTCACCCAGATTCTCAACACCTCTCGTTTAGATTAACATTAGCCACTTCTTAGCTATTTTCCCTTCCTCCTGTCTCTTCCCAATGCAATAAACCATTATATCCTTGTCTAATCAGTTTGGTTTTGAAACATTATCCCACTAAGAGTCATTTTAAGTATGACAATATCACCAAACAGATCATTTTAATCAAGTAGAGAATATATTGTATGTGTGTTTCTGTATGTATGTGTGTGTATGTACATATGTATGTATAACCTCAAACACACTCTAGCTCTATTTTTCCTCAACTCCAATGTACCTGCCTTCATTTACACATAATAAATAATGGTTTCTTTACATTCAAAAATACTGCCCCTAAAATTTTCATGGCTAAATTTTGTCAAAAAACATGGCAAATGAGTCACTCAAAGATATCTAATTTAAATGAAAAAAAAAAAAAAAAGAGCAGCACAGAACTTGTTTACTCTGATTTTTGAAATGTTCCCACAAGAAACACTCATGCAATTGAAGAGAAAAAGTAAAATGAAGCTTATGACAAATGAATGTTTACCATGAACAGATAGGTTTCTGCTCTGTGTTGAAGCTTACCTCAGAAAACAAACTGAAGGCTTAAAAGCCAAAGCTTGTAACTGCATCAAATGATACTCATATTTATGAGAAATATTATCAAATACAATAAATGAGAAGACTGAACAAGTATATGGCTTACACTCTGCCTTTAAAGGGGCTCTATTTCTTCTAAGAGACAGCAACGCAGAAACATAAAAAAGAAAATAAAGCCAGCACTGCCAAGTAAGTGGTAAAGACAATGAGTTCCATGGGAATTCAAAGAAGCAGGAGATTCCTGTGGACTAAGGGAGCTGGAGACAACTTCTTGGAAGAGCTAGGGGTTGAATAAAATTAAATAGATGGAGAAAAGAGGGAAATCCCAAGCATACAGATGATCTTGTACAAAAATGAGGCAGAAATGCACAAAATATATTCGAGAGACAGAGAATTAACCTAGTTGAAAGAGAGGATTCTATGTGGGAGCATTTTGGGGTATAAGGTTGCAACAATAAATTGGAGCCCAACAATGAAAGCTCTGAATGCCAAGCTAGGATGCTTAAACTTTGTCCCGCAGGTAGAAGAACCCTTTATAAGTTATAAAAAACAATAAGCAAAAAAAAAAAAAAAGAGAAGAAGAAAAGGAAAAAAATCACTTTAATGATGCAGTCTGAAACTGTTTTTCTTGAAGCCTTTGAATAACACACCAAGTTGCATAATATCTTGCTAACAGTCATGAATATGTGAACATATTATTTTGGAAATCTGTTCAGAGTGAAGGAGTAAATACTCAAACATGCTTTACAAAATACAAAATCAGTGGTCGATTACATATTTATAGTTATTGAGATAATTCCTAAAAGAATCACTGGGCAGAAAGCTTCAATTTTAGGTTTTCCTCCTCTCACCACCTTGTTCCAACACAAATACCTGGATTTAAGATCTAAAAACTGAATAAAACTGAAATTGTCTTGTTCTAAAAATAACAGGTCTTTTAATACTCCTCATTATGGGTGAATTAACTTACCATATTGTTTCAAAATCACGACATCTATTAAAATAACTTTGTGCAGGATTTACTTCAGCAAAGCAGATGAAAACAGACATAACACACTTAAAGATTATGAAAAGCAAAAAATAAATAAATAAATAAATAAATAAACATTTAATCAAATCTAAACATGTCTAAGAAATCCAGCGTTGGTTTATAAGAGACTGTATTCCTAACAAAAAATGCCAGCCACAACAAAGACTACCAGAGAGTATATGAAGAACATTACAACAGTCAATTTCTCATCCAAAATAAGCCTTTAATCTACAACTCCATAAGGAATGGAGTTAATTTTTTCTCAAAAATGTCCTTAAAATTGTTGGCTTTCTACTATAAAAATTAAGACTCTATGATAACTCAAAACAAGGATTAGCTTTCTTCTAGTAAGCAGACGTAAGTGATTGATGATTTAATTTGCCATTGCAGCAAATACTAATTTAACCACCACTACCTTCTCAACAACAGGAAAATGAAAAATCTCAGTGTTTAAAGGCATACGTGACAAGAAAGAAGCCAAGAATATCCTAGGATGATTAAACCAGACGGAAAAACGATGGCAATCCTGCTGCTGTACTCTGAAAATGGATATGCCATTCTTGCAGGCACCTATGCCTTTAAGGAATATGTAGAGATTATGATTTTTATGTTTGGTTTGGTATGATTTGGTTTGGTTTGGTTTTCCAGGAAAGATGGGAAAATCCAGGAGAGTGGAAAGAAGTGCATTAAGGAAGGTGTCAATACCTCCCTCCCACCCAAACTGGGGAAACTCGCTTTAACAATGATGCTCTTTCACCCCTAACATCCCACCAGTTTTCATACATCCTTTAGGCAGCATTCCTCCCCTCCCATATTGCATGCTTTGCTCCTCACGTTCAGAAGAACTGGCTGCCCCGACTTTGTTAGTCTGGCAGCCTCCGCGCACCCACCCAGACCTGCAGAGTCCAACAACGCAGCCACGCAGCCACCCACACCCGGCACCTCCTCCTTCACAGCCAGCTTCCCCTCCCCCCGTCCTGTCACCTGCTTGGGTGGTGTCCGTCAGGTCGTAGCTGCTGCCCGGGAAGTCTCGGAGTTTCCGACCGCTGAGGCTCAGGATGCCGGAGTTGCCCGCCTCCTCCAGGGCCCGGTCCAGGCTCCTCACAGTGTGCTGAGGCTGCAGGCTCCCCGGGTTCCACTGCGGCCCGTTGGGGAACGGCTGACCGAAAAGAGTCGGTACCGGGATGGGGACCACCAGGGTCCCGCCGCCGCCACTGCCTCCCCCTCCAGCCCCGCCACCTCCCCCACCGGCCGCGCCACCGCCACCGCTACTTCCACCTCCAGCACAACCGCCGCCCCCACTGTTACCACCTCCTCCCTGACTCGCCGCCATGTTCCTGGGAGAGAGAATAGCCCCCGACAATACTGTCAGCCTGTGCCGCGAGTGTAGGATTTCTCAGGACGCATGCGCAGGCTGGGGGCGGGGGGCGGGGGGCGTGGGCGAGGTAGAGGGTGGGAAGGAACCAGGGGGCGGGCTGGGGGGAGGTGTTGGATAGCGAAGAGTTGATGTTTGAAAGTGCAGAACGCTTGCTTTAAGAAATGTATGATAAGAAGAAGGATGTTAAATCCCGGTTCTGTTGCTTTGGGTACCAAAATCTTGCGAAACGACACCAGGCGAACTACAGGTCATCTGGGCTGTATGTCCACAAATCTCTTAAGTTGCTACACCGTTTCCGTTCTGCAAAACAGAAACAAATATATGACTATGACCTAGGGATGAAAGGGATTCGTTTCAGAATATACAGAAACAGCACTTAGAAGGGCTATGGGGCAGATTATTGAGAAGCTTACTGCAAATGCCTCAGGAATCCTTTACCAGTGTTAGAGAAACATTGGGGAGTCATCTGGGGAGGAAAATGAGTGCAGTGTTGAGTTTTGAACATATAATTCTCCATAGTTTAGAATTCCAAAATAGGAAAAGATTTGTAAAATGTTTTCAAGGAAGTCTCTCGTTTCAATATACAGTATGTAAGTCTCGGCCAGACTGTTGCCTTCCAAAACTTGGAAGAGTTATCCACATTCTGTTCTATCACTCTTTGAAGTTGTGCCAAGATCTCCAAAATATCTCTAGTTTCTTCTCTTCGTATCAGTATTGGCTGATGAAAATCTCTTTGATCATCAAACAGCCGTAAAGGTTATTTCTGAAATACAGGTTTTGTTTTTAGATGGAATTCTGAAGATTTAATCCTGGATATTATGAAGCCAATCAATCTTGAATTTTAGGAGTTCATTCCCAGAAACTGAAGACATTTTTAATGTAGAGGACATAGAGAAGAAAGTTCAAAGTCCTTTATCAGGCATTCCAGGCCTCCATAATTTCACCCCAAGAATAGCCAGGTTTATCACCCAAACATTTAGGCCACTGCCATTCCTTTACCCACTACTCTCTCCATTCTCAATCACAGTCATTCGAATAATTTTCACTAGTATTCAGTAAAGTTGCTGAATTAAACAATCAGAATGCTTGGACATGTTCAGTTATCATTAATTTGAGTACCCTATGTATCTCTTTTACATCCATTTCAATTTGAGCAATGTATCAACAGTCTCCTTTTTAAAGAGAAATCTTCACTTCAAAAAAGGGTATCTGGCATAGGCTCTACTTTCTAAAAGAATACAGGAAAGAATTACAACTTATCTAAATTGCGTTGTGGCTATACTGGTTAACTAAAATGATTGTGTCATGAGAAATTACATTCACCATATGTGTGACCCAGAAGAAAGAAAACAATCAGGCTCTGTATAGTGAATTAGCAAGTGAAATAAATATTTAAAACACACCAATGTCAAAAATGCATGTTGCACCTTATGCCTCATCTTCCTTATACCTTAAATCAAATTATTAATTAATAATTCATAATTAATAATTAACTGACAACTTCAGAATTAAGACGGATAAGAAGGGACACTAAGTTCATTAGTCAGAGAAAATGTTACAAAAGAAAATATTTTAATAATTAGCCAATGAAAATTTTTGCAATTATTTAAAACAATATATTGGACTCCAGGAAAAATGTCCTATCAGGATTCCTATTCAGTGAAAAAGGGCATGTACAGCCAAATTTAAGAAGGAAAATAATTTTTCAAAAAGTTGAAAGATAGTCTAAGTTAGAAATGGAATGCTTATTGAGTAAGCTATGTATACATGAAAATCAGACAAAATAACATTTTGTAGGGCTTTTTGACAAGAACACCAAGGCCAAAAGAATTAGAAGAGAGGGCATAAAGTTTAGAAATTTATTCCGAACTTTAACTCCCTGTGTAATACTTGGGACAATGGCTTAAAAGCTCAGGACTTAAGTGTCTTCATAAGTAACAATAGAAAATAATAATAATAATAATATTTAAAAAGTGTTTGCTACTTGTCAGGGACTGCTTTGTATATATTTGTCAATCAATCCATCCTCATAACAACCTTGTAAAATAGGTACTATTATTCTTCCATTTTATAGGTGAGGGAAAATAATACATACCTCATATATGATTGTTGTAAGAATAATGAAGTTATACATATAAAGTGGCAGTCATAATACCTGACATTCATTCATTCATTTAATAAGAATTTAAGAAGCAATTACTCTGTGCCAGAAACTCTCCATGCCACTTAATACTATAGCATTGAACACTCAATAAGTGTTCATCTCTTTACTACACCTGTACTCCTTCAAAAACTAAAATAATACAGAACATTCAAAATGTAGGAAGCCAAGGAAAAAAATCAGTAAATTTCTTGATAATTGTGGGTAAAGACATATCTGACATATTGTATGAATTTTTTACTGCAGTCTATACTAGAGGATATTTTACACTGGTTACCACTCCAATGCGATCCCTGAAATGACACATTGGTAACTGGTTGAACTACAGCCAGCAGTCAGAATTATCCAAGCCAAACTTACAAAATGTATGTTGGTAAGTCACCAACTACATGACATATACCAAACATTATACAAAGAGAACAGGGAGAAAGTAGGGGAGTTTTGAACAAAACATGCAGCCTCTATTAAATCACTGGCAGACTCCAAATGTAATTTCTGCTCAAAAGAACTCTAGAGAGGATTTCCGAAATTCCAGGCCAGTTTATAGTACTGCTATTCTAAACAAACACTTATTAATATATGGAGAAAGAAAGGCATAACCAAATGTCTAAAGCTACAAATTCTATTGAAGGTCAAGATTATTGGGCTAAAGTACAGCATGTTCTTACTAATCTGTAAATAAACCAAATGTGAGATATGCTTTAGCACAGGATTCAGAAAAAGGCAACAAACTTGGAGATTAAATAGCTCAAAGTATATTACGAATTTTTTAAAATCTGGATCAAAACCCAGGAAAGAAACATGAAAATCTCTGTAGTCTATTTTTTGAAAAAATCAGCTCAATTAAATGTTAACTTTAGGGGGAAAAGTGAAATGTTGGTTGTCATCAATACATGTATCAAAAACCTGAGAAAACATGTTGGTTTATCCCATACTAAACTATTGGAGTGAGCCGCAGGTGGAATGAGATGTGCGGTTCTGCTCATTCCAATCTCAGCACAGTCTTGAATTAGAGAAAGCCTTGAGAAATGCATATAAAATGATTAGAGATAAGAAGGAGGAGGAAACTCACTTGGCCCTCCTCTATCCAGTAACTTGATCTTTAGTCTCTTCCAAAATCCCTGTTCCTTCATGGGGTCTTGTAAAGGGCTATACACTAATGTATTTTAGCATAATTTACAAAATACTATATACAGCATCTCTGATCCTCCTTCACCTATCTGTTCTTGATTCTGCCTTTGCAGGTAATCCTTTGTCCTACTTTAACCAATCCTAACAAACTCATTAATCCCAAAGTTAATATTGATTAACTCAAAAAGCATTTGGACAAATGTATGAATGATCACTACTACTTAAAAGAAGCTGTTACATACCTAGTCTTCAATGTTGATGTCAGCAAGCACTGTTATCCTCCATCTCGGTTAGAACCTCTGCCCTGACATTTTAAAAATATGGGATGTTAGACAAATCAGCCTCTCAAAGTCTCAGATGCCTCATCTACAAACCAGAGATTATAACATTCTTAGCTATCCTTAGGATTGTAGTAAGAATTATAGGAGATATATTAAGTGACTAGCATATTAATGATTATTTTCAATGGTTCTAGGTTCGTTTTGCCAATAGGACACCTATCTGAGTGGAACTTAAGTTAATAGCATGGCAGTTCTTAAATTCTTCCATACTGTTGTGCTACTAGCACTAATAAGCACTTCCTTCAGTGCTACTGTTGAAGTTATATCCTTGTCAATTCACCCCAAGTTCTTGCCTCCTCTAACCATATCCTTGCCAATTCACCCCAAGTTCCTGCCTCCTCTAACCATTGTGTTTCACTATAAACAGGTAGCCTGACTCTAATTTCTGCTTACTGCCTGTAATGCAATCCCAGATTTTGACCTCTGTGTTTCTAGTATTTTAACCTGATATCATTAAATTTATTTAAATATATGTTCCAAATCCTTCTTTAAAATATATCTTAAATGTCTGTTGTGTAAGTGGCATGGGTCTGTTAGAAATTTTGAAGAGTTTTCTTGTTAGAGTAGTATATAAAAATGCAGATTGTTGAATTTCGCTAGTTTAGCTTGGTCAAAGGAAAGTAAGTAAAACATCACACAAAATTACTGTAAACTTGTTATGTCCAATTAGAAAACATAATGCTGAGGAAGATTTTTAATCTTCCTTAGGATTACATTGGAAAATCTACTCTTCATATATAAGCACAGAAACACTCCGGCTATGATGTATAAACATGGAAAAACACCTGGTTTGGAGATGATTTGTCCCCTCAAAAACTCATGTTGAAATTTGATACCGGGATGTAGGGGGCCTACTGGGAGGTGTTTGGGTCATGGGACAGAACTTTGATGAGTGTCTTGGTGCTGTTTTTGGTGGTAGTGCATTTTCAGTCTCTTGAGACTGGAATCGTTCCAGAGAGAGCAGGTTGTTATAGAGCAATTTTCTTCCTCCTTTTTGGTTCTCTTCTTCCCATTGACCATTTCCCCTTGACCTTCTCTGTTATGTCTCGGCCTATCACTTGGCCCTCACCAGAAGCCAAGCAGATGCCAGCACCATGCTTCTCATATTTAGCTCAGCTTGTAAAACCGTGAGCTAAATAAACCTCTTTTCTTTATAAAATACACCTAAAATGCTAGTGCTTTGGGAGGCTAAGGTGGGAGGATTGAGCCCAGGAGTTCAAGACCAGCCTGGGCAACATAGCGAGACCCTATCTCTAAA